TCAGTACAACTCCCAGGGGAGCTTGTCGAGCTTCCACACCTCCCCTCTCTGGGACCCTCTTCCTCTCCTCTCCGGGGACAGCCAGCTCTGGTCTACCCAGCCCCTACTTACCAGTTTCCCATTCCCGCCCAAAGCGAGCTAGAAGTTACTGCACCCAGGACACACCACTCTTGAGAATCGGACCAGAGGAAACCATATCAAACTAAGGCTCTCTGGCATTTGGAGCCCCCACATTCGCCCCACCATGTGTCCTCGGTCCAATCAAGTCCCTCTAGACCTAGGTTCCAAGCAGCGTTTGGCCGAATCCGCAGAGCAGAGCACAGGCGGGCCAGGCAAGCAATCTGGCTCCCACTCTCATTTTAAGGACTCAGTGAACAAACTTCTTGAGCCGGCTGAGAAGTGCACTATTAAAGCAGCCGCAAATCTCCTAGCTCAAATGAGTCAAAAGCCTTGCTTTAACGCGCCCGCCCTCTTTGTCCATCTCCGGAATCGTTACATTCCAGCATGGTGACTGTGCCTCTGCTCTTGATGAGCATAACACTGGGCTGCAGCACAGCTTGTACACTTGACTGGAGTGCGTCTTGGAGAATCGATTCCCAGCGCACTGACACTCTACAGTTATTAAAAGAGATGAAAATCAAAATCATGCCTGTTCTCTCCTGCCTGCAAGACAGAACCGATTTCAGATGTCCCTGGAAGAAAGGCCATATCACCCAGGGAAAGCAGAGAGAAGAAGCCACCTGTTGCTACACTGAGATGCTCAGGCAGCTTCTCCATCTCTTCAGGCCACAGGATACAAGAAATGCCTGGCCAGAGACGACACTTGGGCCGCTTCTCACTAGTCTGTTGAGTGGCCTGGAGGCTCTGGAGGGGACAGCAGAGCAAACACCTCCCTGTCTGCCTACTTTTGTCATGGCCATCCGCTCCTACTTCTTACGAATCTCCAGCTTTCTGGAGGGAAAGAGATACAACAATTGCTCCAAGAAGATCGTCATAGCAGAAATGCAAGTGGCCATTTCCACATTCCCGGTGCCTGCAGAGAGAATCTCCAGGAAGAGAAGAAGCTCCATGCAGGAATCTCCACTGAGGTGACAGCATGTTCAGGTCCTCAGGTCAGAGCACAGTACACACACACACACACACACACACACACACACACACACACACACACAGAGTCCAAATGCAACATGAGATGAAAGAAGTCTGAATCGATGAATGGAAGGAGCGGGCACCATCATCCACGTTTTAAAAAGGGTCTCATACATCACACTCTAAGACTGGGAGAATGGAAGGGTTTGTGTGCCACATCCTATCTGATTACTAATAAATTGATGATTCCAAATTGTCTCTTTGGCTTTCAATTCCTGAGAGAAGTTAGACAGGGGCCACAGGTGTCGTAAGATGGACCCTTGTGTAGGAAATATTTTCCCTCATGGCAGGAATTGAAGCCATTACATGGCAGGTCAGAGGGTTCTAGCTTCCTTCTGTTTACTAGGAACTCAGGACTCTCAGTCTGGAGTCAGAAGGCTACCTCATCCTTGCTCATTGAATGGGCCCTAGGAAGGGATGGCCGAGGCCCTGAATGAATGCTGCCAGGGCCTTGCTGCAAGTCCTGGGACTCTCTTGTCTCTCTTCATTCGCACACATAACATCCACTGTGTCCCCGCTCTTGGCAAGATGGTTGGCCATCTGCTGCAGAGGATCGAGTGTTCAGCGATTCGCCAGGGATGGTGCACCAGGAGCAGGTGACCGGACTCTCCCATAATGACAGGAGACCAACATCGACTCTGCTCTGTCCAGGCAACCTGCACCTGTTCTCACAGGACAGTACCTTCCTCCAACCAGCCCCAAACAAGCCACTGGGTGACGTGAGGCAGGAGGAGTCAAGTGTGTGACCAGAAAGACCCTCTCTGGTCACCCTCACTGTGGCCCTGCTACTTTCAAGGCTGATCAGCCATGGCTCTTGAGCGTTCCATTCCGTTGATCTTGTGTGCACCCTCAGAATACGAGAAACACCAACCTGGGCCTACTTTGAACACTGAAAGTTACACAACATGTCACCTATTCATGTTCACAGCCTCTTGTTGACTTTTAAGAAGCAGTGTGGTGGAGAGACCCAGGACGGTTCACAGTGTTGAGAGGACCAATGAGAGAGAGAGAGAGAGAGAGAGAGAGAGAGAGAGAGAGAGAGAGAGAGGTGGTGGTGGTGGTGGTGTGGTGTGTGTGTGTGTGTGTGTGTGTGTGTGTGTGTGTGTGTGTTGGAAGGAATGCAATCGTATCCAGAAAACATGACACGGGAGACCAGGATGTGACAGAATGCCCAACCATTCAAGTCATTTTTGGGTGCCAGAGTGACCAGGACACTATATTTGCCCACCACCAGGGATCCTTGCGGTTGTCACTGAACCCCTCTCCTTACAGCCTGAACCTTGAGCCTCCTAGTGGCTCAGCTGCTGCCAAAGTGCAGGCCATCCTGATCTGACCTGTCCAGTAGTGGACACCTGCTGGAAGCTACCACCTGGAAAAATGGGAGGAGACTCCCCGGGAAGCAGCGAAGCTTTGTCTGCTGTGTGCTGTCTGCTACACAAAGGTAGGAATGACTCTGGGAGTCTCCAGGAGGAAGCCGATGACTGGCACAGGTGGAGACCTCTTGGGCAGTCCCTCTCTTCAGAGAAGGGACTCATTGGAATTGTGACCCTGAGGTGACCAGCGATTTTTCTTGGAATGGGAGTGAGTGGAGATGTTCTACTCTGGCTTCCATCATCAACCCTGGGTCCCGTCAACCTGTGTGTTGATGCAGCCAGTGTCCAGTGTCCTTCGCACTGAAGCGTCAGGGGAGGGAAAGAGCCCTCCAGAAATACAGCAGGGAGGGTAAGGGAGGATAAAAGAGGACCTGGGTACTCCTGACAGGCTGGTGGGAAAGAACTGAGTTCCGGTTTTTCTTGAGGGCTTCACAGAAAACATCCATCCATCTCAGCAGGCTCCAGAAAGTGAAAGAGCATAGAAACACCAGTATGAGGAGCTAAACGCTCCGATTTGGAAACCAAACAGCTAAAGACATTAGACAGCCGACTAAAGGTTTCAAAATACAATGATAGTAGAAATACATGTAGCATAGAGCGAGAAAAAAAAATAAACCAAAACCGTGAAAAGCATAGATTCGCGGTGAAAGAAATAGTCATTGGAAGCATAATAATCCTTGGAGTCGGAGAAACTTGCCTTTAGTTCCAGAGGCTCAGAGGATCCAACAAGTCCCAGAGAAGGGGGCACCACAGTGAAGCACTCTGAAGCAGAGCAAGGGGATTTCTGACAGGAAATGCCATTGCCATGGGTGTGGGGTTGAAGCAAAGAAAGACAGGATCGTCATCCTCCTGGCTGAAGTCCCACTTGGTGCAGTTCAGCAGAGTTCCCATGAGCAGGGGTCGAGCCTCTAGGTCTGTCCTCTCTGTGCCCCACTTGCTCTCTGGGGCCAGCAGCTCTGGTCTTTCCAGCTTCTACTTTCCCTTTCCCATTCCTGCCCGCCCAAGGCGAGCTAGAAAGCTACAGCGCCCCCCACACACAACCATGAGATTCGGACCAGAGGAAACCATACCAAAGTATGGTTCTCTGGCGTTTGGAGCCCCGACATTCTCCCTGCCATGGGTTCTCTGTCCAATCAAGTCTGTCTAGACCTAGGTTCCAGGCGGCGGTCGTCCAAATCGGCAGAGCACAGGCGGAATCAGGCCGGCAATCTGGCTCCTTCCTGGGTGGCGCCCACTCTCAGCGAAAGGACTCAGTGCAGTCAACCAGCTCCCTGAGCCTGCTGAGAAGTGCGCTATTCAGGTGGCAAAATCACCTGGCTCAAAGGGTCTGAAGCCTTGCTTCACGCGCGCGCCCTCTCCCGGCCAGCTCCTCAATAGTTACGTTTCGGCATGGTGCCTGGGCTTCTGCTCTTGATGTGGACAATGCTGTGCTGCAGCACAGCTTGCTCACTTGACTGGGGTGCACCTTGAAGAATCGACACTCTACAGTCGCTACGAGAGATGAAAATCGTGCCGGTTCTCTCGTGCCTGCGAGACAGAACCAGAGCAAGGGGATTTCCGACAGGAAATGCCATTGCCATGAGTGTGGAGTTGAAGCCAAGAAAGACAGGACTGCCATCTTTCTGGTTGAAGTCCCACTTGGTGTGACTCAGCAGAGTTCCTGAGCACAGGGGCCAAGCCTCTACATCTGTCCTCTGTGACCCACTTGCTCTCTGGGGCCAGCAGCTCTGGTCTTTCCAGCTTCTACTTCCCCTTTCCCATTCCTGCCCGCCCAAGGGGAGCTAGAAGGCTACAGTGCCTCCCACACACCATCAGAGTCGGATAGAGGAAACCATACCAAAGTATGGCTCTCTGGCATTTGGAGCCCCCACATTCTCCCTGCCATGGGTCCTCTGTCCAATCAAGTCTGTCTAGACCTAGGTTCCAGGTGGCCGCTGTCCGAATCAGCAGAGCACAGAGAGAACCAGGCTGGGAATCTTGCTCCTTCCTGGGTGGCGTGCACTCTCAGCGAAAGGACTCAGAGTGAGCCCAGGCCCGAGTATAGCCAACCAGCTCCCTGAGCATGCCGAGAAGAGCACTACTTTTTTTTACTTATTTTTTTATTGCTTTAGAAATAATACCATTTCAAATTTTCACTTCCTCCCCTCCTCCCATTTCCCTCTGGATGCCCCACTTGCCCTCCCTTCCTTCCCCTCCATTCCCCAGGAGCACCCTGGGATTTGTCTCTACTGCATTAGTACTTGCTTTTGGGGGAATTACTAGATTTTGAGGGGAATTACTAGCTCTTTTGGAATTACTTGTTTGTGGAGGAATTACTAGTTTATTCTTGGAAAGTTCTAGCATTTTAAAAACTTATTAGTTTCTTTTGGAAGTTCACTCACTATTAAAGCAGCAGCAAATCTCCTAGCTCAATGAGTCTAAAGCCTTGCTTTACACATGCCTCCTCTTGGGAGGTCTCTGGAATTGTTACATTCCAGCATGGTGCCTGTGCTTCTGCTCTTGATGAGCATAAAGCTGGGCTGCAGCACAGCTTGTACACTTGACTGGAGTGCGTCTTGGAGAATCGATTCCCAGCGCACTGACACTCTACAGTTATTAAAAGAGATGAAAATCATGCCTGTTCTCTCCTGCCTGCGAGACAGAACCGATTTCAGATGTCCCTGGAAGAAAGGCCATATCACCCAGGGAAAGCAGAGAGAAGAAGCCACCTGTTGCTACACTGAGATGCTCAGGCAGCTTCTCCATCTCTTTAGGCCACAGACCAAGAGAGAACACTCGGGCAGCTTCTCACTAGTCTGTTGAGTGGCCTGGAGGCTCTGGAGGGGACAGCAGAGCAAACACCTCCCTGTCTGCCTACGTTTGCCATGGCCCTCCGCTCCTACTTCTTACGAATCTCCCGCTATCTGGAGGGAAAGGGATACAGCAATTGCTCTTGGGAGATCATCATAGCAGAAATGCAAGTGGCTCTTTCCACATTCCCAGTGCCTGCAGAGAGAATCTCCAGGAAGAGAAGAAGCTCCATGCAGGAATCTCCACTGAGGTGACAGCATGTTCAGGTCCTCAGGTCATAGCGTGCGCGCGCGCGCACACACACACACACACACACACACACACCGAGAGAGAGAGAGAGAGAGACAGAAACAGAGACAGAGACAGAGACAGAGACAGAGAGACAGAGAGCGAGGGAGACAGAGAGAGAGAGTCCAAATGCAACATGAGATGAAAGAAGTCTGAGTCAAAGGAGTGGGGGCCATCATCCTCGTTTTGAAAAGGGTCTCCTACATCACGCTCTAAGACTGGGAGAATGGAAGGGTTTGTGTGCTGTATCCTATCTGATTACTAATAAAATGATAATTCCAAATGCTCTGTACAGGTTTCAATTCCTTCTAGGAGTTAGGCAAGGGCCACTGGTGTTGTAAGATGGACCCTTGTGTGGACAGTTTTTTCCAAGGGGGCAGGAATTGAAGCCATTACAAGGCAGGGCAGTGGGTTCTAGCTTTCTTCCGTTAATTAGGAACTCAAGACTCTCAGTCTGGAGTCAGAAGGCTACGTCATCCTTGCACATGGAAAGGGCCCTAGTAATAGATGGCCAAGGCCCTGGATGAATGCTGGCAGGGCCCTCCTGCCAGTCCCGGATCTTCCTTGTCTCTGTGCCTTCGCATACATGACATCAACTAGGTCACTGCTGTGGGCAAGATGGGTAGCCATCTGTTGCAGATGATCAAGCGTCCAGTGATTCACCTGGGATGGTGTACTGTGACAAGGTGACTGGACTTTCCCAAGACCACAGAAGACCATCATCAACTCTCCTCTGCTCAGACAGCCTGCACCTATTCACAAAGGGCAGTTGCTTGCACTTATCAGCCCAAAGCAAGCCACTGGGTGATGGGAGGAAGAGTCAAGTGTGTGAGCAGTAAGACCCTCTCTGGTCACCCTCACTGTGGCCCTGCTACTTTGCTGGGTAGTCAGTCATGCTTCTTGTGCTTTCCATTCTGTTTATTTTGTGGACCCCCTCAGAGTATGAGAAACAACCACCTGGGTGTACTTTGAACATTGAAAGTTGCACAACATGTCCCCTATTCATGTTCACAGCCTCTTGTTTAAGAAACAGTGTGGTGGAGAGACCCAGGAAGGTTCACCGTGTAGAGAGGACCAATGAGAGAGAGAGAGAGAGAGAGAGAGAGGTGGTGGTGGTGGTGGTGGTGGTGGTGGTGGTGTGCGTATGTGTGTGTGGTGGAGGAAATGGAAGAGAACCCAGACAAGATGACACAATAGTCGAGGAATTGACAGAATGCCTGACCATTCAAGTCCCTGTTGGGAGCCAGAGTGACTTGGACACCACACTTGCCCACCATGAATCCTTGCCATCTTCACTGAACCCCTCTCCTCACGACCAGGGCTGTAATCCCCAGAGACAGGACAGTGCATGGCGACAGTTTGTGCCATATTCCCCGGGCCCTCCTCTACATACTACTTACTTGGGTCTGCTGCCGATGCCTTCTAAGTAACACATGAATGCCTTAGAATCTCATAAGAAACATGTCAATTGCAAAGATTAAAAGAAATAATTTTCTATTACATGGCAACAAGCTAATGGACTATAAAGAGATGTCCTACTTGTTCTTTCTATAATCAAACACCACTAGCTGCAGAGATTAACCCAAAGGGTACTCAAAGGAATGAAACCTGGCAGATGGATGTCTTCCACTCTGCCAATTTTTAAAAATTAAAATATGTACACCAAATCATTGATACTTATTCAGGTTTTCAATGGATATCTGCTTTGATCTCATGTAACATGAGGGGGCCCGGGTTGTTGGGGTTTTCTGTCCTGCCTGGTACCGCACAGCTGGCAAGACCCAAATAAAATCACACAAAAATCTCTATAAGTTATAAAGCTGATTGACCCATTAGATCAGGCTACTTATTAGCTCTTGTAGCTTATATTAACCTATTATTCTGATCTATGTTAGCCATGTGGCTCAGTACCTTTTTCAGTGGGGTAGTCACATTCTGCTGCTTTTTTGGTCTGGGCAGGAGTGGGAGGAATCAACTTCCTCCTTCCCAGAACTCTCCTGTTCTCATTGCATCATTTCTACTTCCTGTCTTGTTTTCCCGTCTATATTTCCTGCTTGGTCAATCAGCATATATTTAAAACATGATTGACAGAACACAGACAATTCTCCTGCACCAATCTCAGAAAGGCTGAATCAGTAATCATACATTTATTAGAAGTTATGGACATCATGGGTATACCTGCACAACTAAAGATAGATAACAGTACAGCATATTTCTCTAAAAAAATGAAACAGTTTTTCCTTATTATAATATAAAGCATATTACAGGTATACCAGACAATCTTACAAGCAGTTATAGAAAGATTGAATCAAGCTAGAAAGGATATGTTAAAAATGACAGAAAGGGATTACTAATATCCCCAGAAATAGATTACATGTTGCTTTATTAACCTTGAATGTTCTTAATACTAATGAGAAAGAAACAACAGCATCAGAGAGACATTGTATAGTAGAAAAGTCTTCTGAATTATGTCAGCTGGTGCATTTCAAGGATATGTTGATGTCAGAATGGAAATCAGGATATGTGCTATGTTGGGAAAAGGATTTCGCCCTTGTTTGCACAGGAGAAGAAAAGTTATGAATACCATCAAAATTAAAAAAGGTTTCATTTGAAAAAGAGAAATTTCTTTAGAAATAGGAACGACAGCTCATCCACAGAGGTGACAACCATACAGGTGGTATGGAAACCTCAAAAGGATTGTTGCAGAATTCTCCTTTTGTCTTTGCAGAAAAACACTACTCATTTTCAAAAAGTCAAGGGACTTTGGACATCTAGATGCTTAAAGAGGAAAAGATAATTATCCAGATAGGATCACCAAGCAAAGAGGATTATGATTTATGAGGACAGGCTATCTGAGGGTAAGAATCTCTGAACATAAACTAGAATAATAGCAATGACTCACTTAAAAATCAAAAATGGCTTTGGAGTTGGACAATGGCTCTGTCCTTTTCTAAGTCCAAGTATGTTGTTAAAGGAAAAAATCAGAGCTTCTGTCTCATGTCAGGAGCCATCTGGTATGGGACAGAAAGAAGAAAGAATTTAGAAAATGATTACTTTTCTTAATACCTATGTTTATCTCTATCATATCTTTTGGTGAATATATGTCTGTATAAATAATGTTTAGGTTTTCCACAATGAACAGTGAATTTTCCTGCAGTAAACTTTGAAGTTTCCAGGAAGAAGATGGGACCCCACAACAACAACTCCACCTGATTGCTATGACATCTTGTGCTATGACATCTTGATGTTAGTAGTGCTACTTTAACACTTTTTGGGGGAACCAACTGCTCAAGATGGTTCCTACATGGTTAGTTGAAATGGTGCACTTTTTACAACGTTCTAGCCGGAACTTCAAGTAGGAACTTCAGAAAAACCCTACTGAATACTCAGAGACTATTTGTAATTATACCAGAAAGTAATCTTGAAACTTAACCATGATGTTACTCTCATAGGACTCCATAGAAAGAACATTGCCCCCATGACTGCTGGAAGTAATTCTCAAAGATGATGTCCCCTCTCCCTACAAAGTTTGTCTTCAGGGTCAGGGACATCAATTAGTGGTTGATTATAACTGGTATCGGATTGGGGATTGAGGTAGAAATTGTTTAGGTTCAGGAATCTCTTTGAAAAAAAAGAGGAAAATTGAATGGAATAATAGGTAGATTAGTGTGAGTTTGCTCACCCTAAAAATAATAGTGAGTAATACAGTGAATACTTGTGAGCTATTATTTATAGGCAATTTACACTGGTATAGATTCTTGTATATTGGTACAAACTTAAATTATATTGAATATGTTCCTACTTTTGTCTACAATATTTGTATACCTAGGCAAAGTCATTGTGTTATATTGTATGCATGTATGTTTCTACCTCTGTTTAAGACATTTTGCATATTGATACAATTTTAGGATATATTTATCATATTGAATTATACATTTCTACCTCTGATCAATATACTTATACATTGTTTACATTTTGAGGTCATTGTCCTCAATTGCTGCACAGTTGTTTAAAGATTGTTTGATATTCTAATATGAAGTCTTAGTCTTTAAGTTATATAGGTATTAAGAATTATAGGTCAATAGTGATCCTTGTTTGTCATACTTATAGTTAGACTAATCAGATTCTTTGTATACATAGAAATTGTATTCTGCATAGACAGGTAATCTTCACCACTTCAAAGAGCTGTAGAATATGGCATTTAAATAAGTTAGGGTTCTGTTGACCTGAGTCACAATTGCTCCTGGAAGCCCCGATCTATTTCTGAGAGAAAGTTGAGCACCAAAGACACTCTATTTGGAGCTTGTTTTCTTCTTGATCAAACTGGCCTTTGGGCAAGGAACTACCCATGCCTCAACCACTGACAAAATGCATATCTGGACAGTACAAGCAGGATACAAGAAAAAAGACTGTTAAATCCTGCCAAGACAGGATAAGACAGTTCCGAAATTTTTTCTGCCCTGGAAAATGGTCTGTTAGTTACTCTAGGCCTTCGCCAAAGTTGTTTACTCCAATGTTGCAAATGAGACTTTGGGTGATTGTGCAGGTAGCCAGTCATCTCTGTCAGTTTTTGCACAGTTTAGAAGATGCTTGACTGCACTCTCTGCTTATTCTAGTAATATTATTTCCCTTCTCTGATCTTCAATGAGTTTGAAGACTAGATAGTCATAGTTAATTTCCTCTCAGGACTTAGCCAAGTAATTTATAATACAAGACTAGAATCCCTAGGATAGGATAATTATTGAAACATTTATCACATGTTTCTTGGTAGATGTTGTTCATGCTGGTTGTAATTAAATTTTTAATACTTGAAATTTATTCTTATTGTATATAATTTTGTATTAGGCTTAGAACTCTCTTATTTAAACAAAAGGGAGGTGCTGTAGGGAATCCTTCAGCCAGTAGCCTTTAAGTTACCTGCCCACTTGAGTGTAGTCTCTTACACTATAAATGCCTAAGTAAATCG